TTAAAAATAAAATGTATGATGGATAAAATTATAATTAAGATCAAATATTCAAAGCAAGAGATGAACTAATATTAAGATTTGAATGAACATACAGTAAATTATTTTTTATGTTAACATCAAATAATAAATTTTCTTAATTAATTATTTAGCAAGATAATCCAATTCAATTATTTTTTAAATTTATCATATGAGTAAAATTCTTATTCAAATAAAAAAAAAATCTTAAGGTACATAATTTTATTCCATAAAAAGAGCGTTAGAACACAAAGTAAAAATGTTAGTATATTAATAGACTAAGTTTAAATTTATCATATGGGCTGATACTGCTCGAGATAGAGGGTATAAAAAGGATCGTTGGAACTTAAATTGTGTTAATTTTGATAGATTAATTCATACCGGTGAACGTGAAGAACATGAGCCTTACATCGAAGCATCTCAAGCACAAATGGTGTACTATGTGGATGATATTGTCAATAAAGGGTGGAGTGTTGCTATGCATCTAAAGCCAAGAGATCTATATGATATGGGAGAAGAAGTAGTGGAAGATGAAGTATATGAGAATGAACCATACCAAGAGCAAGAACTCGAACAGTTTTTTGGTGACGGTGATGAGTATGTACAACTAGCTACGGACCATATAATTGATGATGTAGTAGAGACAATTGTTGCTACTAACTTAGCAGCAGATACATACATGTGTGAATAGAAAATTTATTTAATATGTTGCTTTATCTGAAGGTAATAGTATTGCATACCTAAGTAGTGTTTATATTATTTATTTGATGTATAAGTATGTTTAGAAATGGTATTCATATTTGGTATGAAGGCATATTTAAAAATGATATTCATATTTGATTCACCTCTTTTTAATCTATGGTATTCGTATTTGTTTGCCACAAGAGGATCTCTTGGAAAAAAGATGAAAGTATTGGAAGAACTGAGAAAGAGTAAAGACGACAAAAAAGAGTAGTTGGAAGAACAAACTAGGCTGAGGTTTGACTGTAGTTCATACTGGAATATGTGATTTGCATGGTGCAGGGTGCCTTTGTGCTTTATCGCCTGTTTGAGAAGAATGATTTGAAGCAGGATGAGCATATTGAGCGTTAAATTTTGATGATGCTGAACTGAATGCTACAGTTGCTGATTTGGATTGATGCAGGGGCTTTCTACCTATGTGCGGATGATGCTCTCAACACAAGTAAGTGAACATCAATATTACTGTGAGTTACTTATGATATCAAAAGGTTAATTTACCTGCTCAAACAAATATAGGCTCTTCTAAGTGCTATAGGTGTTGGTGAGAAATCCCCTACTGTTTTTGGGGCAACGTTTTAGGTGAGTTCACATCTTTTTTTTTCCATTGTAATTTATGTTTTAAACTGGTGTGATGACAATGGTTTTAAAAAAATTTCAGTGGTTCTTGCGAGATTTAACTGGTATGGTTGGAGGCGTCTTGTTCACATGTTGCCAAGTTTCTTTCATCTTTTCTGGATTAATTTTCCGGTATCGTATTGATCCTATTGTGTCAAACAATGCATGCCTTGATTCTTTATAAAGGCCGAAGCTACAGAAGCACCTCAGTCCTTCTAGGATAAATGATTTCCCATCAGACTTACATTGATGCCAATTTCTGTTTCCACTTGAAACTATATGCAAATGCTCCTTTTCATAAAGTAAAGGAAATGATGATCTCTTTCCTATAATAAAGTTACCATGGCAGCATATATGGATCGAAATCGAACATTTTTTGGGACAGTGATATTTTTGACCTGCCTCCTACTACCAACCCTCTGTTAATGATTTTTAAAATATAAATACTTGTTGGAAAGAGACTGTTGCTTTTGCTTTCTTTTTCAGGGTTCTAATTTAGACAGTAATGCCAAAATGTGGCGTTTAGTGGCAGATCTCATGAATGATCTCGGTATGCCCTTTCACCAAGCTAATGGAAATTACCATCAGCTTTTATCTGTTTCATTTATCCTAGTTATCAGTTAATTCCTAATTATTCTGTATCCTAATGTTGTCCAATGTTTCAATCTTCTCCTGGTTGTTGGAATTCCTTCTCTCCTTTGTTAATGGTATGTCAAGGAATGCACTTTTGAATGGATGAGAGGCTGCGTGTATTATAGCATTAGTCAATCATCTGTTATATGTAACTTGTAAATTTCTTTGGTGTATTATGCTTCTCATATATTGACGAACTTGGATGCACGATAGCTGTGTCTGCTTTCACACACTTACTGAATTACCATGTCCTCCCCTTCAGTTTTGTCTTCTGTTGTTGGTCATTAGATAAATATTTGCATGATGTAACCTTTGTACCACAAGTTCAATATAACCTTCTAAACAGTTTTAGAAGATCTGTGCATTTTTTAATGCTGTAACAAACTTGTAATTGTCTCAAATTGTGTAGGGTTGATATTGCGGCTGCTGTGTTCTACGCCTTGCTATTCACTGTGCTTATAGTATCCTCATATTTGGCCCTTTATTTACAACATTACTGGAGTTCCTTTCTCATCATAAGCCTTGCCATTTCCCTTCCAGTTCGTTTGAGAATTTTACGACAGGCTCATACAAGAAAGAGAGTATGACAATTACCTTTGTCTATGTGAACTTCCATTTGCAGCTGCAAGTGCCAAACAGCGTTTTAAGTGAAAGGAATACCTCTTTCAAAGAAGTGCACTCCTATTGTAGAAATACAATTCTTTGACCTTCGTCACATATGCGGACCAAGCTTCTGCTGTGAAAGATGGGATACCATCTTTGTATGTATTCCTCTTGACGATCCATTCTTGAAGAAGCATTATTAGAGGATGAATTAGTTCCCTGTGAAATGAACAAGCAGAGTCCAGAGTTCAAGGTTTCAGAAATTTTAATATTTCTTGCTTTGTTGTAAATTAAACTTGGTGGGAACTAACTGCAGACTTAATATTTCTTATCAGTTTCATTTATCCTAGTCATCATGAACGAACTTTTCACCTCCACGTGTGTTTCCAATTACTGATGACTATAAAATCGTTTTCCTTGTCAGATAAGTAGATTGATTTTATTGACAAGAAGGAACAATCCCGTGTGCAAGAGTTCCATTCTGCAAACTCGGTCCAATCATCTTTATAGGTTGGGGAGTCCCTATGAGCGACACACCAAAGAATAAGCATGATAACCTACAGCAGCACAACACATACTTTCCTCTCCTTCAAGAATTCTTCTATTTCTTTCCCTCCATGTAGTTCACAAATTGCCTGTGGACTCTCTTACCACCCCCTCTTGACTTTCAGCTTCCAAATAATGCTATAACATACCCGGGGTAACGCATCAGATGGAAAATAGATTAAGTATCAACGTCTGCAGGTTAGTCACAACTTTGTGGTGATTGACAGATGGTCCATGTCCGTTCTCCATCTCTTACACATATATTTGTTGGTCTTCAATGTTGCAGCAGAAGATTGTAAAATCTTATGGAGTTAAGCTTCTTAACTAATCTACCTGCTAAATACTTTCAAAGTGTAATTTACTTATTTTCTCCAATGTTATAATGTCCATTATCTTCTTCTTGACTGCTTAGTTGTTTGTCCTTCTGACTAGAATATTATGAAATTTCAATTGCAGTAGCTTTCTGGTCTGTTATTAATTCACCCATTTTAGATGTTGGGTAAATTTTGGAAAAGAGTTTTAAGCAGTCTGACATATTTTTAACCTTTTTGGCTGACCTTGAAGCTTTTTTTTTAATAGAAGATGATTTCTTCTTGTTAATGAGGCCAAACATACTGAAGTGATAGGACTGATTTTCTAAATATCATCTTTATTTGTTTCGATTTAGCAGGTGTCGCTAGTGGAGCCACTAGAGCAGCTTTGACACAGCACTTTGCCTTTCAAAACAATACAGTGGCTAAAAAATTGCAAAAAATCCACTTACTCAGACTTGGTATCCGTTTTTCCAAATCTGATAGGAAGGAAGCCAAGAAACTCTTGCTATAATGATTTGGATGGCTTTAGGAATGCTTCTTGCACACATCACAATTGGCCACTCATTTGCAATTTGGATATCCTTTTTGTCTCTTACTATGTTCCATATGTATGGTTGGTTATATCACTGTACTTCAGTACCTATTTAACAGGAACCTATTCAGAAAGTTCACTATTTAAAATTCATTATGATTATGGTCAAGGCTATTTGTTCTGTTATTGTTCTAAGCATCATCTTATTACTCTATAATTCTTGAACTCTAAGGTCTGCTATTAACAAAATTATCCTACTTTGTTTTGCCATTTATGCAGACTTTTTTTTTCTTTTTCTAACCTCGATCATGCTTGTATGCTGTGTACGAGATTTACTTTCATTTCCTTGTCTAAACTTCGACAGGTATTATGGAGTCCTGATGGCCTATAGCAGCCTTTTGGATGTAAGGAGAGATCATACTAGTAGTAGTTCAAATTTTATTTTTTCATAATTAAAGATTATGTACTTTAATTAATTATCTATCACTGTATTCTCAGTTTCTAACAGAGCAGAAGCCTAGATTTGTGGACACTCTAGTCAGAACTCGGGTGCTACCACTGTATGAAACATCAATTCCTCAACCATATTTGATTACCTCTGCAAACTGGGTTCTAGGAGAGCTTGCTTCATGTCTTTCTGATGTGAGATAATTTTTTTTGATGATACCTTCTTAACTATAAATTTGCTATTAGGCATCGTGTAGAGTAAGTTCTCTTTTTTTTCTTTCCACAACAGGGTATGAGTGCTGATATTTATTCTTCGTTAGTGAAAGCATTAACAATGTCAGATATAAGGGGTGTTTCTTGTTATCCTGTGCGGGTGACAGCTGCTGCTGCCATTGCTCAACTTGTAGAAGTAAGTGGCTAAAATGGCTCCTATTTTATGCACTTGAAGTATGATAGTGAAAATAATGCTTGTACTTTTGGTACTGCAGAATGAGTACATGCCACCTGAGTGGCTACCTCTTCTTCAGGTGGTTTGTCATAGGATTGGTGATGAAGAAGAAGATAACTCCATTTACTTTCAGCTTCTAAGTACTATGGTCGAGGCTGGAAATGAAAAAATTGCACCTCATATTCCAGATATTGTTTGTCTGTTGGTTAGAGAAATCTCAAAGAAGTTACCTTTAGATCTGGAGCCATGGCCTCAGGTATCTTCTTATGTTCAACTACAACAACTATTGCACTCTTATGTATCTGATGTATTTGTATTTTTATTCTTTAGCAAATCTTTTGATGATTGTAATTTTCTTTTTGGTAACTGGCATGAAAATGAGAACGTGTCTTGTGCAGATTTCAATATTTTATGGAGCTATGTGGTTCAATATTCATTGTTTATAGTTTAAATGGAAGTCCTATAGGTTGGATTGCTTGCTTTGAAACTTCATCTTTTCTAGTCACGTTGCATATCATGTCACATGGTCCAGAGTCATTACTTTGATAGGAATAGGACTAAACTTTATGATTCCTTCTTGTAGCTGAAGTACCTTGAAACACAATCTTAAATCCTTTTTTTTTATGCTGATCTGGTAATGAGTGCATAGGCGTGTCTAGATTCAACCTCGCTCTTCACCCAAATGTGAAATTAAGAAAAAACAAACCCATCCATACATATAATTTAAGGCATATTGAGATTTGAAATTTTCCAGACCCCACTTGTGGGATTACACTAGGTTTTTTGTTGTTGTTGAGATTTTAAATTACTGACTTGCATCTGGTAGATGGTGGAACAGGGCTTTGCATCACTAGCAGTGATGGCTCAGTGTTGGGAAGACTCTGCATCGGAAGAAAATGAGCAGGATGGTTCAAGTCAATTGTGGCGTTCTGGTCAGGCAACCATGATGAGAGCATTTTCAGATCTCCTACAGCATGCCTGGCTAAGATCTGCTCTACGGATGGTTAGTCTTGAATAAAAACACAAGCTTGTATTCATATATAGTCCGTTCTTTACTTTTTTGTCAAAGTAACATGCTCAGTACTACTTCAGTAAAATACTTCCTTTAAAAATATCATGACTGAAGCCTATTCGTGCGTATGTGTCTATATTTAGAATGCAATCACCTCAATGCTGGATGCAGCTTATGTCTAGTGTTTATACTATATAGTTATATGATTTGTATTGTGAAATCCATACCAAGATTTAATAGATTATTAGGTGCTAACACTATGAGTTTTTTTGGTAAATGGCTTACAGTGGGATGCTGTTGAAACCAAGAAAATTCTTCACAGCAAATTTCCTGTCTAGACTAACAGCTTTCTTGATACAGTTAAAAATAGATAAATCCTCTATCTCCTCCCATGCATGCCAATCAGCTCTGAGATCTGACCGGACCAGCATCAGCTCTGAGACCTTTAGCTTCAAAAGATCGTCAATTTCAGTAATTCCTTGCAAAATGAAACCAAGCAACGTGGAACAATCATCGACACATGATGCAGGGGGCACTGAGAAGGCAACCTCAGGTTCCTGATAATTGCAACAAATAATATGAGAAGATAACAAGAGAGTTGAGCACATCAAAAGCAAAAGAAATATTAAGATTCTTCTAATCACACTGTTATCCCAAGCGAGACATTGACCAGTTAAGTACAAGCTAAATCTAACAGGAATTCTCATTGGTGGAGGAACTGGATCAGAAAAAAAGAGGGAATCTAATTGTAAGGTATCTACAGAAACCATAGCTGGAATTGGATCTTATTCAAAGAAAAAGATATCAAATATCCGGAGCTTCTTTTTGTGCTTGGTCGAGGATCTAGTAGGTGGCGCTCCTTTCTCGGAGAACCGTACATGAGACTTCTGCCTCATACGGCTCCATCCTGAGCTTCCATCAACATATGAACAGCTTTGGATCGTGCATGAGAAGCTAACAGGCTTATCATATATCATTCCTCATGATAAAAAATTTATTTAGTTCCATGAGGATTTGAATTTGTAATGTTTGTCACTCTGGTGATTATTTATGAAATTTGTTTTATGTTGTAAGTTATTTGATATAATTATTTCTTTAATCCTACAAATAGAAAATATTCAAATAGAAAAAGAGTTTTCAACAACAAAAACATTGTGGCAGAAATAAACTGTCACTATTTTTTTTTTTGAAACACTAATATTATATTGTAGCGGTTATAAACCCAACGTAACTTTTTAAAAAAATATTTAGATCATATTTGGGGTTTTATAAACCCCCACATAACCTTTTTTTAAAAAAATATTTAGATCATATTTTGGGGGTTTATAAACCCCCACATAACCTTTTTAAAAAAATATTTAGACCATATTTTGGGGATTTATAAACCCCCACAATATTTTTTTTGAACCACTACGATCATATTGAGGGGGTTTATAAACCCTTGCAGTATTGTTTTATTGACACATTGAAATCATATTGCGGGGGTTTAAAACTGACACTAATTATCTTTCAAAACCCCCGCAAATTAAAAATTCATTTTGTGGCGTTTGTCATGGAGGTTTTAAAAATTCGCCGCAATAATGCTCGTGGCAAAGGTAACTGTGGCACTTTTAGAAACTGCCACAATTCTTTTACTGGGGGTCAAAAACCGTCACAATTTGACCAAAAAACCCCTACAAAGTAGGTGTTTTCTTGTAGTGTGAGGATAACGACTCCGCATATCAGACTCGGACTCCCAGGTCGATGCCTCAGGGGGCTGACCTCTCCACTGAACACGAACAGAAGGAAAGCTCTTAGATCTCAACTGACGAACCTGCCGGTCTAGAATAGCTACCGGCTCCTCCTCATAAGACAAGTCCTTGTCCAACTGGACAGTACTGAAGTCTAACACGTGGGCTGGATCGCCGTGATACCTCTGAAGCATGGATACATGAAAAACTGGATGCACGACTGATAAGCTAGGCGGCAATGCAAGTCTATAAGCCACCTCTCCCACTCGATCAAGAATCTCAAACGGACCAATGAACCTTGGGCTAAGCTTGCCCTTCTTTCCAAATCTCATCACGCCCTTCATAGGCGACACTCAGAGCAATACCCGCTCACCAACCATGAAAGCTACATCTCGAACCTTACGATCCCCATAGCTTTTTTGCCTAGACTGAGCTGAACGAAGCCTATCCTGAATGACCTTGACCTTGTCCAAGGCCTCCTGAACCATATCCGTACCCAACAACCGAGCCTCTCCCGGCTCAAACCATCCAACCCGACACCGCCTACCATATAAAGCCTCATAAGGAGCCATCTGGATGCTCGACTGGTAGCTGTTGTTGTAGGCAAACTTCGCTAAAGGCAAGAACTGATCCCACGAACCTCCAAAATCAATAACACAAGCTCGAAGCATATCCTCCAAAATCTGAATAGTCCGCTCGGACTGCCCGTCCGTCTGGGGATGAAATGTCGTGCTCAACTCAACCCGTGTGCCCAACTCTCGCTGAACTGCTCTCCAGAAGCGCGAGGTGAACTGCGTACCCCGGTCCGAAATGATAGATACGGGCACACCATGAAGGCGAACAATCTCCCGAATGTAGATCTCAGCTAACCTCTCAGAAGAATAGGAGACTGCCACAGGGATGAAATGTGCTGACTTGGTCAGCCTATCCACAATGACCCAAACTGCATCGAACTTCTTCCGAGTCAACGGAAGCCCAGTAACAAAATCCATAGTAACCCGCTCCCACTTCCACTCGGGAAGCTCAATCCTCTGAAATAAACCACCAGGCCTCTGATGCTCGTATTTAACCTGCTGACAATTCAAACAACGAGCCACATATGCTACGATATCCTTCTTAATTCTACGCCACCAATAATGCTGTCGCAAATCCCAATACATCTTCGCGGCGCCAGGATGAATAGAGTACCTGGAGTTATGTGCCTCCTCTAAAATCAACTCTCGAAGCCCATCCACATTGGACACACAAACTCGCCCCTGCAATCTCAAAACTCCATCCGCATCTAAGGTAACCTGCTTGGCACCTCCTCGCTGCACCGTGTCTCTAAGGACACACAAAAGGGGGTCATCAAACTGTCGATCACGGATACGCTCCAATAATGAAGAACGAGCAACCGTGCAAGCTAACACACGACTGGGCTCAGAAACATCCAGCGTCACGAACTGATTGGCTAAGGCCTGAACATCCAAGGCAAGCGGCCTCTCACCGACCGGGATATAAGCAAGACTGCCCATACTGGCTGACTTCCTACTCAATGCATCGGCCACCACATTGGCCTTCCCCGGATGATATAAAATGGTGACATCATAGTCCTTCAACAACTCCAACCACCTTCTCTGCCTCAAATTCAATTCCTTTTTCTTGAACAAGTACTGAAGACTCTTGTGGTCAGTGAACACCTCGCATGCGACGCCATACAAATAGTGCGTCCAAATCTTCAATGCGTGAACTATGGCTGCCAACTCCAAATCATGAACCGGATAGTTCTTCTCATGAATCTTCAACTGTCTCGAAGCATAGGCAATGACCTTGCCGTCCTGCATCAACACTGCTCCAAGCCCAACACGGGAAGCATCACAATAAACTATATAGGGCCCTGAACCTGTGGGCAAAACCAACACCGGTGCCGTAGTCAGAGCTGTCTTGAGCTTCTGAAAGCTCGCCTCACACTCATCTGACCATCTGAACTGGGCACCCTTCTGGGTCAATCTGGTCATCGGGGCTGCAATAGATGAAAATCCTTCCACGAACCGTCGGTAGTAGCCTACCAACCCCAAGAAACTCCGAATCTCTGTAGCTGATGCTGGTCTAGGCCAGTTCTTGACTGCCTCTATCTTCTTTGGGTCCACCTGAATACCCTCAGCTGATACAACATGACCCAGAAATGCAACTGAACCCAACTAGAATTCACACTTCGAGAACTTCGCATATAACTGGCTATCCCTCAGAGTCTGAAGAACCACTCTAAGGTGCTGCCCGTGCTCCTCCTGGCTGCGGGAATATATCAATATATCATCAATGAACACTATCACGAATGAATCCAAATAAGGCCTGAACACTCGGTTCATCAAGTCCATGAAAGCTGCTGGGGCATTTGTCAACCCGAATAACATAACCAAGAACTCATAATGCCCATATCGAGTGCGGAAGGCTGTCTTAGGGACATCGAATGCCCTAATCCTCGACTGATAGTAACCAGATCGCAAGAATCTTGGAAAATACCCTAGCACCCTGAAGCTGGTCGAACAAATCATCAATCCTCGGCAGTGGATACTTATTCTTGACCGTTACCTTGTTCAATTGCCGGTAATCAATACACATTCTCATTGACCCATCCTTCTTCTTGACAAATAACACCGGTGCACCCCAAGGTGAGACACTGGGCCTGATGAAACCCTTCTCAAGCAAATCCTCCAACCGTTCTTTTAACTCCTTCAACTCCGTCGGGGCCATACGATATGGCAGAATAGAAATAGGCTGAGTGCCCGGAGCCAGATCAATGCATAAATCTATATCCCTGTCGGGTGGCATACCCGGCAGGTCTGAAGGAAAAACATCAGGGAAATCACGAACAACGGGCGCAGAATCGATAGAGGGAACCTCAGCACTGGAATCCCGAACATAAGCTAAATAAGCCAAACACCCCTTCTCGACCATACGCCGAGCCTTCACATACGATATGACACTGCGGGTAGAATGATCTGGGGTCCCTCTCCACTCTAAACGAGGCATACCCGGTAAAGCTAAGGTTACAGTCTTGGCATAGCAGTCCAAGATGGCGTGATAGGGTGATAACCAATCCATTCCCAATATAAATCAAAGTCGACCATATCTAAAAGCAGTAAATCTACACGAGTCTCCAGACCCTCAATCACCACAACACAAGAGCGATGGACTCGATCGACCACAATGGAATCACCCACCGGTGTAGACACATAAACAGGAATACCCAATGTATCACTAGGCATGATCAAATACGGGGCAAAATAGGATGACACATACGAATACGTAGACCCCGGATCAAACAACCCAGAAGCATCTCTATCATAAACCAGAACCGTAACTGTAATAACCGCATCTGAAGCCTCTGCCTCGGGCCTAGCCTGAAGAGCATAACATCGGGGCTGGGCCCCACAATCCTGAACCATATCTCTAGGTCGATCTGCTGCTGGATGGCCTCCACCCCTGGCAGTCTGAGCTCCACCTCTATGACCTCTACCTCCGCCTCTAGTACCTCTACCCCCGCCTCTAGCTGGCTGGGCTGGCTGTGGAGCATCTGGTGCCTGAATCATAGGACGGGGACCCTGCTGCTGCGACTGAGTACCCCTCAATCTCGGGCAAGCCCTCCTATGTCGCCATACTCACCACACTCATAACATCCATTCGAACATTGTGGCTGAGGAAACTGAGGCTGACCTTGGCGGCCTGAATGACCCCCACGGACACTCTGAAGTGGCGGTGCGCTGATAGGAGCTGGCGGTGCACTGAATGCCTGCTGATCAGAATAATATGCCTGAGAACCACGGCCACCTGATGCACCGTGAGAAACCTGGAGAGCTGACTGAAAGGGCCTAGGAGGGTGACCTCTACCATATGAATCCCTACCTCCAGACGAGGTACCACTGAATCTGCCGGAATGACGGGCTCTCTTGTCTCCCTCGTGACCACCTCCCTATGACAGAACCATCTCAACCTTGCGGGCCACATTGGCCGCCTCCTGAAAGCTGATCTCACTGCCAGTCTCCCTAGCCATCTGGAGACGAATCGGCTGAATCAAACCATCAATAAATCTCCTCACCCTCTCTTTCTCGGTGGGAAGTATGACAAGAGCATGGCGAGCTAGATCAATGAACCTAGTCTCATACTGAGTGACCGTCACTAGAACCCTGCTGGAGCGCTCAAACTGCCTCCGATAAGCATCTCTCTGAGTAACGGGGAGAAACTTCTCCAGAAACAACTCTGAAAACTGCTCCCAAGTCAAAGACGGTGACCCTGCAGGTCTGGCTAAGCAATAATCTCTCCACCAA